GGATGCGAGTTTGTTCTGCAGCCTGTTTGCCACTTTCCCCAATTATAGCCCTATGTTAGAATAGCTCACTACTGCTGTTAATAGTAGCCACTTGTATCCATGTTCTAGAGGGTACCCTTTACAGTTACTTCAGCAAAGAATCAGTGAAAAACAGGGACCAGCTATTTAGTGCAAGCCCAAATGTGTTCTATTTGTGTGCTTATAACTGTGGACACAATCAATATTGAGGCCATCTGGTTTTGATTCATGCATTTCGAGACATGGCAGATAGCAACTGAATTAGGCCTTTCAGACACCTGTTTTGAGATGCATTTGAGAGGATAAATCGAGAGTCTGTTGTTTACCATGACACCAACAAATCAGGCTTCTGCTTATTTTGAACCAGGACGCTTTCGCGAGTTAAGCAGGCATGATACTACTACATTACAGGGGCACACCAGCTGTACTCTTACAAATGATGACCATCTGTGCAGTACAAATCTGCTGATATTCAGAACCAGGGAAGAGAGAAAGTTAACAGAATTTCACACTGCAATTAATTGGAATTATTTTTCTTTTCACCACATTAGCAAATACTTTATTATGTATGACTTCTGTCATTAATGTAGGCGCTGTGGTGGGGATGACTTATAAAACTTTTCACTGCATTTTTCGTGTGAAAGTACAAATTTCTATTCTACCTATACATGATCTAACAATCTGGAGGTTGCAGTAGTTGAATTATTGAAGAAATACATCACACTTAGAAGGACTGGTTTAGTGCTTGTTTGGCTGGATGGCTGGTTTACAATACAGAACGATGCCAGCAAACGGGTTCAGTTCCTGCACCAGCTGAGGTTATCATGGGTGACTCTTTCTCAACCTCTCACCTCACCTGAGGTGTAATGACCCTCAGGCTAAACTCACCATCATTCATCTCCGTCTAATAAGACAACAACCCTATGGTCCAATAGGACAATGGCAACGTTTTCTAAGTACCACATCGGAGTAAGTAATGATCATCTAAAGGTATTTCACGTGCTGCAGAAACATGGTGCTGCAGCTGAACTTTATGACTTTTCTCTTTCACTTTTTAAAATGCATTCATAGGATGAGGGCATTGCAGGCTAGGCCAGCATTTATTTTGCCCATCACTAATTGCCAAGGGAGCAGTTAATTATCAAGCATGTTGCTGTGAGTCTGGAGTCACGTAGGTCAGACCAGGTAAAGATGGCAGTTTCCTTCCCTAAAGGACATTAGTGAACCAGATGGGTTTTTATGACATCGACAATAGATTCATTTTCATCATTAAACTCTTATTTCCAGATTAATATTGAATAAAAATGCCACCATCTGCCATATTGGGATTCAAACTCGAGTCCACTGATAATACCACTAGACTGTTGCCTCCCCTTTTATGGCTGCTGTCCCCTTCTGGATCAAAAAGCCAATGTGTTTTGTTTGGCTCATTCAACTATGCAACTGCTGTGTTAATACTTTTTACTTTTCCTTCTCTTTCTGCCCATCCTGCTTGAAGCAGGATGTATTTCTGATCACAGTTGTCATTGCACATAGTAGCCTTTTGTTAAATCCTATGCCTGGCGACCACTGATTCTGCTGTGTGGGTGAGTGCTGGCCAACTGCTTGCAATCCCCACTGTCCATTGTTATTGCCTGATAAATGTGATGTTATTTTGGTGTCAGTAACTCCACCCACTAAATTGGATACGGCATTGCATTTTGTTTTGTAGCATTCTTGTGAATAAAAACCTTTTTAATGATTGGGGGGGGAAAAAGCAAATAACCATTTTCAATCTGTATTATATTGTATAAGGGGAACCACATCCATACATCTGTAGGTGCAAAAACGTTCTAATTGCTTTTTGGTAATTGATGTGAAAAATGTGTAGGACATTAGAATTGAGCAGTAATGATAAACTTGTATCAAACCTTAGTTAGACCGTAGTTGGAGTACTGTGCATAGTTCTAATTGCCATACTATAAACAGTGCTTATCCAGACTCACTGCTTAAATAACACTTGATTTTGATGGTTCTCTCAGAGACTATACTGGTGTATCTTGCAATGATTAATTCATCACAAACTTGACGCGTCTAATGAGGATGAGATTTCTTTTGCAGAGTGTAGCTAAAGTCAGACTATTCATTATCACTCCTTGGCATTTGCATGTTTGCCCTATTCTATTTACTTTCCTTCAAAAAAACTTAACAATCTCTCCTAGAAATCAGTTGTACCATCCAATTTCAAAAAAATTGGTACAAATAGATTGAGTTGTGCAAGCAAGTAGTGGATGTCCTCTAATGTTGCACTGAGTAAATTGGTCAATAATTATGGTGCTTTCTTATATTTGGAAATTATAGATTTCTGTGGAAATTGATTCAGTTGTCTGGATTGGAATGTACGACTTGCTTGCCGGAGATTAATAATTTGTGAAACCAAATGTTTGTGAGCTGCTTATCTAGTAATCTGTATAAAATTCTCCTTCCTTTAATAGCTGTGGGCAAGCAGGCCTTGTGAACAGATCCAAAGCATTCAATCAACTTGGTTTCTTTTAATATGATTCCCAGAATCTTTATTTTAGTCAAACCCCATGAACTATTATTTTGCCTGTGGTTGCACCACTTGCCTTAATTTGATTTTGTTTTTGGCCATTAGAAGGAGTTGTAGTCTGTTGTGTGCAATTTGGAATTATTTCATTATTCACATTATTGAATTAGCTTCAGTTCTGTTTCTTGCCTTCTGTCTCATTGTCTGTTGTAAGTGTACAACAGCTGCAGCACAGGGACTGAGAGTGTTCTCTAGGCAGCAGCAGTTCTCTGGCACTGGTGCCAATCTGTTGTCACAAGAAGCACTATTAATTGCACTCACATGGATTTTTTTCCACATGCGCACATCTTTTTGAGGTTGTCAACACGCTCGCTGAGCCAGTGTGGTTGGTTGCAAACGTTTCGTCACCCTACTAGGTAACATCGTCAGTGCACCTCCGGTGAAGCGTCGTTGTTCTGTCCTGCTTGTTATTTATATGCCTCAGTTTGCTGGAGTGGTTGGTATTACTTCCTGTTCTGTTTCTCATTGTTTTGTACACAGGGTCTAATTCAGTGTCTTTGTTGATGGAGTTCCAGTTGGAATACCAGGCCTCCAGGAATTCCCTGGTATGTCTCTGTTTGGCTTGCGCGATCATGGATGCGTTGTCCCCGTTGAATTTGTGTCCCTCTTTGTCGAAGCAGAATAGGAGCTACTATACAGAGTCTTCAAAAGGAATGGATACCCAAAAAGTACAATTCGACATTATCTCAACAGGAACACCCAACCCGACCAGATTCACTAATCACCCAACCGTACATCAAGGACGTTTCAGAGATGACCGCAAGACTACTCAGACCCCTAGGTATCAGAGTAACCCACAAACCAGCAACCACCCTGTGACAGCTACTGACGAACGTAAAGGACCCATACCCAAAACCAGCAAAACAGGTGTAATATACAAAATACCATGCAAGGACTGTGAGAAACACTACATTGGCCAAACCGGAAGAAAACTGACAACACGGATACACAAACACCAACTGGCCACCAAGAGACACGACCGGTTCTCACTTGTCTCACTGCACACAGACAACGAGGGACACTAAGTCGACTGGGTCAACACATCCATAATTGCACAAGCCAAACAGAGACACGCCAAGGAATTCCTGGAGGCCTGGTATTCCAACCGGAACTCCATCAACAAACATATTGAACTGGACCCAATGTACAAACCACTGAGAAACAACACCGGAAGTAATACCAACTACCCCAGCAAACGGAGGCATATGAATAACAAGCGGGTCAGAACACTGACGCTTCACCGGAGGTGCACTGATGATGTTACCTAGCAGGGTGATGAAACGTTTGCAACCAAACCCACCAGCACGACGAGCAAGTCTACAAATCTTCTCAAACTTTAAACACATCTTTTTGATCCTACAGTCGTGAATGAGGGCTTTCAAAAATTGTTATTTCTTGGTAGTTCAGAAATTCAAGTGTGCTTGTTTTTAAAATTGTTTCTTTTGATGTCCATAGGGTTTATTAAGTTCTTGTGTATCAGCAAACCCACATATGATTTCATGAATGTTGGGTATTGTAATAGGTTTTGAGTGATTTCATTTGTTGTACATTGAGACAATCTTTTGCGTTGCTGCGATTATGATAGGTATGGTAATAAAACATTATCTTTTTGAGCTATCCAGTGTAGAATGAGGTCTCCTTATAGACTTCCTTAATTTCATTTAAATATTTGGAATGAATATGAATACTGCTTTATGAGCCAATGAGTTAAAGCTGGAATGAGATTTTAATAGGTTGAGTCTATTTTACAGCAAAGAAAGTTTGTTTAAATTGAATGTCTAAGCACTTACAAGTGAGGCTCTTGCAGAATCTCCTGATAAAAACAGATTTACTTCTCCAGCAAAATATAGTGAGTAATTATGTAACACAAATTAGTGCCTCCATCCCACTCACTGAGAGCTGTGATCCAGGTGTGAATGACAGGAATTTTTGGGATGATGGTATGCAGCTGGGCATTTTTTTTTCCCCACTTTGTCAACTTTTCCTTGTGCTAAACCTGTCAATGCTCTGTCAACATTCACCTATTATGCAAGGAGTATTTTACTATAGATGCTAAATATTAAACGAGAAACAAGGATATGAAAGATGCACAAAAAGATTCACAAAATAGCTTAAGTTACCAGAAAAGGGTATAACATTTTGAAAAAGGTTATGTTTATATTTGTTTGTTTGCTTGCTTGAATGACCACCTTTTCAGTCATAATTTGTGTGATGGAACATAAATTTAAACGAAGTCCAGTTAGAATTGTCTGTCTTTTATCAGTGCTTTTATTACTTGGTGTTAGCAGCCAACTTCTGGAAGAACAGTTTCACATTTCACAGTGTACCTTTCTGATTGTAGCTATTCAGTAATCAATTTTTTCAGCAATCACGTTTATGACTTTTCTTTCTGCAGGAAGAAGCCGACTCATGTGAAGGTGAATTGCTGGTTCTGCAGCCAGGATACAACCGTACCTTACGGGAACAGAAACTGCTGGGATTGTCCAAACTGTGAGCAGTACAATGGTTTTCAAGAGGTATGGGGATTTACAGCTCTTCAAGTTGCACTTCTCTCGATGCATGTGATGGCAAAGCAAGGTTTCCTTTTAACCCTTTCTTTTGCAGTGGTATCTGTTTTTCTGTGTGACAGCTCTTCCAATATCAGCGAGTAAATTGGCAAAAGTGTGTCTGGGAATACTTTGCTGTATGAAAAGCAAGTTGAATTCTTAGAAGGCC